ATAAACACCAGAACTGGAAATGCGTCTGTGCCACAGAACCAGGAGGCGGATCTCAAAAACTGAGGGATATCTGTGGATTCAGCCTTTGTCTTCTGCGTGTGTCATTTCTCTTTGTGTGAAGGTGCAGTGCCAAATTTCTGTGTTATATTCACCCTTGATTTAACAGCCAGCAACTCGACAAACCTGAAGGAAGCCAGCTATATGTTGGATGGCCAGCTCCCATCTTAAAGGCTGTGCCTGCCACCCCTGGCAAGCTTATTGTCTCTCAGGATCGCCCAGGAATGAAGTCAGCAGTTTATGCAGGCTGCCAGTCAGCAGGGACCCTAACTCGCCAAATTACTCTCCTCTTCCTGTGGCCTGGTAGTATCCAGAAGCACTGGAGATGCTCAGCACTTCCTGTCAGCCTTTTCAATGTAGAGTTAAGGAAACCTGTGGAGCCAGCTCATATCCACTGAAGATGTCTGCTCGGTTGTGCCGACCTGCTACCTCAAGCGGTAGGTGAAGCATGGTGGGTAAAACTACTCTGATGCAGCCACCCCTGATGTGGGTCATAAACCAGAAGAGGAAGCTGGGTCCCTCAAAATCCCCTCACAGTCTGCAGTGCGGATTTGAAACACAATCCTCCAAACTAATAGCAAAAGAAAACAAAAACACGGACTGACCTAAAAGTTCCTTGCTTTTCTTTCTTTTTCTGTTTTGTGAAAACCAGTTCACAGTAGCTCTTCCTCTAAGAAAGATACAGTTGGTCCCTATGAATATGCTGAACCTGGTGTCAAGGAGGTGACACACGTTTAAAATTAATTGCCTGTTTTCCAGACTGCAGCTGTAATGAGGCAGGGACAGGAGCTTACTCAGAAAGGGAGATCCTCTGAGCAGCCTGTGTGTTGGGAAATGCATTTAGAACAATAGCTGCTCTATTCTTTAATGTCGGGCTCAGTCTTGCTCCCTCCAAAAGCTTCTAAGAATGGGACTCAACCTTTTCAGCTTGTCTGTGGAACAGACATGCCACCTTAGTCTATTTATAGCACTGAACCATTTAATTTTTCTTGCCTCTGTTACCCATTTAGCAGCCTTCAGAGAGGGTGCATTGTAGTTACTAACAAATGCTTTCTGCAGCCGTCAGAGAGCCTTGTCAGAGAGGTGCAGCCCATCTCCCACTGGGAAATTGCAATCTCTAGGTCGGAGATGAGGAATCCAGACTGTAGCTGCAACATTATAATGTCTTGCAATTAGTGCCTATTCAGATGCATCACAGCACTCTTTCTTTCATTATTAAATGTTATTTCTCCCATTTGTTTAGGCTTTTCAAGTTTTTCCTCCAGCTGATTAAATAATACGGCTTGAAAACCAAAAAGGCCACTCTGTATTTCTTACATCCCCATCAGCAAAAGTATTTATTGTCAAAGTTTGGAACTTGAGTCTGTTATGGAACAAAACAAATTAAATGTGCTACTAAATAAATTTAATATCTAACTCATGTACAGGCACACCAGTCACTTGATACTCATTAGATACAAGAAGACTATTGAAATGTCAGCTGTTTTCTTTCCAAAGGCCAGAGATTTATTTTGTGTGCAATAGGTCAAAAGCATTTTTCAGGAGAGTGCTGAATACTCCCAGGAGCACTGACTACAGGCATCAACCAGCTTTCATATTTATTTTAATTCTCGGAATTCAGAGTAGGTTAATAATGAAATTCTAATGAAATTCCACATGAAAACAAGCTACAAATATATAGCTGGCATACAAGGACATGAACTTTCTCACGTAGAGCATTATTCATTTAGCTATTTTGTATAATTATTTTGAAGCCAAAACAATTAATGATGCCTTTGACCAAGAGAACTTCTGACATTAAAACCATCTATAAATGACACTTCCCTTTGCAAAGGGAACCCCACAGATAGCTCTTAATACTAGCAGGATCCGAGGTGTCTCAGAGTAAAAGGCTTTGCTTCTTGTGTAGTGTGAGTAAAGAAGTGGAACATTGCGTGGTGAGGGATTTTTTACAAGGGCTTGTGGTGAGAGGACAAGGGGTAATGGTTTTTAACTGAGAGAGGGCAGATTTAGGTTAGATATCAGGAAGAAATTCTTCACCATGAGGGTAGTAAAGCACTGGAATAGGTTGCCCAGGGAGGTCATGGAAGCCCCCTTCCTAGAGGTGTTTAAGGCCAGGTTGGATGAGGCTTTGTGCAGCCTCATCTAGTGGGAGGTGTCCCTGCTCATACCAAAGAGATTGGAACCTGATGATCTTTAAGGTGCCTTCCAACTTTAACCATTCATGATTCTAATGACAGCCAACATCTGTTCCAAATGAGAAGTCCAGAAATAATGAGAAACAAACTGAATACAAGAATGAAATAAATAATGAAAGGGGCACTTATTAGATTCTTAACCTTTGTACCCAGTTCAGTAGAAAGCTCAATATTTAGAGTAAAATTACATGCTAAAATGGGGATGTCCTATTTTCTTTCATCTTCTCCCTTCCCCTCTCCTTTGCACTCCTCTGGCTCTTGGGGAACTAATTCAAGTTACTAACCCAGTGGAAATCTAATCCAGAAAAGAAAAAAAAAAAAACAACAGAGGTTTCTGCTGGGTTACTGAGCTAAAATAAACCCACCATATGGTCAGCTGAAGGGAGGGGGTGGGACTGCATGGCCAGGAGCAGCAGCGGCCATGGGAAGAAAAGAAGAACCAGCAGAAAACCTTCTTCTCGTATTTGGGTTAATTTTCTTCAGATTTATGTCTCAACTCAAGGTCAGAAAAAGGCCAGAGCTGATGGGGGGGGGAGGGGCGGATGTTAAAATACCACACGTCTGGTAGTATACAGGGAGAGTAGGGATGTGGCCACTGGTAATTAGTTTGGCCTAAGCTGTTTTGGAAATCCAGGTTTAGCTCCTTGGCAGCGCCCAGGGAGCTCTTCTCACCAGGGAGTGCAGTGTCAGGCTGCAGAGGGGACTAGAGTTGGGTGGCAGAATCCAGGTTGCCCTGGCTGCAAGACAAAAAGCAGCACATGGAACAAAAGTGTAGTGGTTTGGTTTGGAAATTAATAGTTACTTAACAGAAAGACAACAAATAAATATTCTCTAAGAGTTGTGATGTATATGAATTTCATATTTCTATAAATCATGCAGCATTCCTCTTTTGTTGGTGAGTTGGCATTTTCCAAACAGGTAAACTGGGTAGTGACATTTCTAAAACATAAAAGACAAAGACTTTTTAAGAGTGGCTGTTAAAGCCAAGGATGAAAGGCCACACTTAAGTGCCTAAATGGGTGTGTTGTTTTCTGAAGTGCTCAACACCAGCAGTTACCTGCCACTAATGGAAGCTGCTCTTAAGTCTTAAGCCTCTGAAAATAGGGCATTCGGCAGGTGCTAGGACATTAGGCTTTAGACAGATTTTTAACGATTTGGTCTAGATATTCAGCTCACCATTTGATTGAATGAAAATGCTTAGAAAGCAGCAAAAAGTTCCATTTGCCTGTTATGAAACAACTGATATATTTACTTAAATTTGAAATTATTAATTACAAGTATTTAATGAAATAATTTTAAGGAACAAGCAGAACCATTCTGGTCTTAACTTCATTGCTGTTGATCTTCTCAAGCATTCAAAGCTGAACTACCTTAACAAATGTTGCTACAGAAGGTTCCTATTAGAAGTTGGGACACTGCAAGAAGAAGCCATGATTTCCATTCCTCGGGAAATAGGATGTCACCCTGAAATCACTTGTACTGCTTAGAACTGAGAAACATTTCATTTTGTCACAATCTAGCTCTTAAGAAAACAGGCAGCATGTTCTAGAGACAAATACAGAAAAGTGCAACAGTAACGTGATCTGTATTTGCCACTCACTGCTTTTTCCCATGTTGTTCTCAGCTAGTGGGCTTGAGAGGCAGGATGACACCCAAGGCAATCCCCAGCTGGTGAAATGTGGGATACAGTTTTTAAGATAAACCTCTCCTCCCACAAAGAGGACCTTAAGTTGAGGTAGAAACTTTCAAAATGTTTCTTTCTGAAGCAGCCTGTAATTTCCCATTCTTCCCTCTCCTTGGAGTATTGGCTAAGAACTTCTTTGGTAGCAGAGCCCTGTCTGACGCAATTTCGGTGTCATGTACCTCATCACATAGAGGCCTTTGGAAGTGACACTTCACACAAGGGTGACCCAGCCAAGTTTGCCACATGTTTGACTGTAAGCAAACATATAGCAGAGATATGTCTTTTTAAAGGAGACAAACATGAGCGAATCATCTTCGAGCTTACATACATACGCTTTTACACACACAAAGCTTAAGTGATCTGGAGTTACTTGTACACGTGATTAGGCAGAAGTCAACTCACTGCTGTCTTTGGAGAGATGAACCTGAGGCCAGCTGCAGATCAAGTAAATCTCAGACCCAGCCTCCTTGATTTGTGGGATCATTTACCAACAGTAAGGTGAAAAAAACCTGTGATATCATATTTAATCGTATCCTCTGAAGAGGTAGAAATTAGACTGAGTGGCATGGTCCTGGGTATATAACCTGTGAACTGAGAGGCTGCGATCCCCTTACAGACCCTGGAGAGCTAGAGCCTTGTCAAAGAAATCAGCAGGACCTTCAGAGCTGTTCAGAGGAGCAAGGGTGTCTGCTTTACCATGACTTGGATAGCCCTCAAAACTCTATGAACTTCACTGACTAGATCACTAAGGCCTGTAATGGGATCTTGAACACCTAGATGTTATCTGGCACCTCCAAGAATTGATTAAATGTAGGTATGATAATGTGTGAGCTGAAAACCACTGCAGCTGTTGATACTGCAGTATACTTAAATGACACTTCTGCTTTTCTTTACCATGCTTTACAGCAGCAACTTACTGCAAAAACAAAGCTAAGCAGGAGCTTGCAGCTGATGGCAAGAGACAAAAATAAAAGCAGGATACCGAAGGCGGAGGCCCAACATTTTGTTCTGAGGACTCTGCTCCCACTGAAGGTGGTAGTAGGTGGATAAACCTCTGTTACCTGCAGAAATTTCCATCTGCCTCTGGTAGAGTCAGGGAAGCCATGGGATTCTTCAGGAGATCTGCCACAGTGTTATCCTTTGTTGTCACGTAGAAGAAAGGGATTCCAGTGCTGTTATTGACAGGACCATCGCTGAGAAGTAAACAGTTCCCATAGGGCATACCTTGGACCTGCAAAATCCAAATAAGTAAAACTGGTTACATCTCTGTACATGGATGGTTTACAATGGCAGGGATTCCCTCAAGGGTTCTAGCAGAGAGGACGGTAACTCCCAGTTGCTCAGTCTCCCACTTCTGTTGTCATGGTGAGACAGACCTTCTTCTAAATTAAATGTACCATGCTTCTATGAAAACAGATCTCTCATATATTTCTTCTTTCCAGTCCTGACCATGACACTAGAGGGAACGTTACCTGCTGAGCTTAAAGGAGCTACCAAATAAAAATATTAAAGTGCATTAAAATCAATGCCATGAACATCAATAAACGTTTACTCTAAAACACTGCCCATACTTTTTATCAAACCCAAAAGGACAGAGAGCCTAATTTAGCCTTGACTCAGCCTCCTTTTTACGCTAACTTTGTCTCTCCTTTTAGCCTTAATTTGCAATGTGATTACATCAGTTTGTCAAAAGAGAGGGAAAGGTGTATAGAATTTGTGTTTACAGTCAAGCTGGATGTCAGCTCAGCTGCCTGGCCAGGAACTTCAGCTATGGAGGGGGTCTAAGCTATCAAGCCAGCCAGAGCAAACTTTCCTCCCACGTAGCAGGAGGGACACCAAGGATCCAAGTTTTCAAAGTTTTCTTCTTACACTGACCTGCAAACACAAAGTGGTTATAATGCATGCAAAAATATTCTTGCCCAGTTCATATTCACACACATACACATACATACAACACACAGGCGTATGTGGTGGCCTCTTCTCCCTGGTGACCAGCAAACAAGGACAAGAAGAAATGGGGTGAAGCTGCACCAGGGGAGCTTCAGGTTACATATTAGAACAAATGTCTTCACAGAAAGAGTGGTGGAGTTGGAACAGGCTGCCCAGGGAGGTGGTGGAGACACTGTCCCTGGAGATGTTAAAAAAAGGGGAAGACATGGTATTTCATAAGATGGCTTAGTAGCTATGGGTTGTAGGGTGGATGGTTGGACTCCATGATCTTGAAGGTCTTTTCCAACCTCGATGATTTTATGATTCACATTCTCTATGATTTATACTCCTGTGTTTCTCATTCTGTCATAAACTGCAATCACAGTTACTTAATGAGTTACTGTTTTTTAACGTCTTCAGATTTTTTTCACGTCTTTCCTCGTGGTCAGTTAGATGTTAAAGAGTAAAATTATCAGTCAATACATTAATTCAACGTAACTGGTAAACTCCTTACAGCAAAATCAAATTAAGTATGAATAAGAAAACCCTGGATGATGTTATTACCTGGATTTGCATGCTTTCTCATAAACATTTTTAATGTTTATACACCTTTAGAATTTTAATGCTTATAGTGTTTACAAACGGTCCTTGTTAGTATTCCTAAGAAGGAATGTTTTAATTGAGCCATGTAACTTAGAAGCTAAAAATACTTGTGTATTATTAAAAGCTACAATGTAAAAAAAATTAAATAGTATCTGTCAGTAATGTTAGGCAGGACAGGTTTCCATTGCCTAAGCTGTCATGCATGGTTAACGTTACACTGGGTTTTCAAAAAGAACTGGGACCACAGACTGCATAAGTCACCATTCATGGCAGCAACAATACCCACTTCAATACCAAATTTTATTATTACTCTCATTTTCCTGGATTACTTCTGTGTCATAACTAAAGACAATTAAATGCAGACTATATTATGCCTTTATTCAACCAAGGATTTCTGACCAGAACATAAACCAGAAGAGTTAAGACAATATGATTTAATAGGATCTCTTACGACCTGATGTAGAATTACAGGCCTCTTGTGTGTACATATATTTTTATATTTAATGTTTTTTGTTTTGTTTTGTTTTAACCTGTTGTGTTGTATTTCACTCAGCCAAGCTTTCTGAAGATTAACATGCTTCTAACTTTGTTTTTTAAACTGTACGTTAATCAACCCGTGAATACTTTCAAGAGAAACTTTAAGGTCTTGGTTTTGTGCGTTTTTTCCTGTTTAGTGGGGGTTTTTGTTGTTGTTTCTTTGGGGTTTTTTGTTGTTTTGTTTTGGTTGGTTTTTTTGTTTGTTGGGGGGGGGGTTTGGTTGTTGGGTTTTTTTTGTCTGAGCGGTACTGGTTGCTGTGTCTAAATCCAACCTTCCATTTTAAAAAGGGCAATATATTAAAGCTGGAAAAAATAATTACCCCGGTTCTCCACAGAGCATTCCCAGCTATTATATTTTACATTTCATGGTATCTTTTCTTTTTAACCCGTTGTATTTCACAGTAACACAAACGGCCGCTAACCCAGCTGAGCTTTCTGAAGATTCACATGCTTCCAACATGTTCCTGACAGAGGAACCACCCTTTGAGCTGCGACAGCAGGGCCGCTGGGGGACGGACAGACCCCGTGGAAGCCCAGCGGGCTCCCCCTCCCCCTCTCCCCTTCCTCCTCCTCCTCCTCCTGCGGCCGGAGCCCGAGGGGGCGACCCGGGCCCCGCTCCCCCGGGGCAGGGGCAGGGGCAGGGGCGGGCACCTCGGGCTGGGTTCGCGGGTCCCGCAAGGCACCAAAAAGCGTCTCTCCAAACCCAGCCTGCCTTAAAAATGTTGCTTTTCCTGCCCCTCTCTGGGTGTGTTTTTGCTTGTTTGTTGTTTGTTTTTCACTGTGCCTCCTCCCTCACCGTGACTCCAAACGCGATTTCTCCTCCTAGAAAAAGCCTTTCTGTGCTATTTCTCTCCGCGCTCTCCGCTGTGCGCTGACATCGCCGCTGACGGGGGCACAGCCCGGGGAGGGGAAAGAGAGGCCGGCTCCCTAACGCGGGG